TTTTTCCCGTTTTTCCCGTTTCCTGGTTTTTTTGTTTTCCCGTTTTTCCCGTTTCCTGGTTTTTTTGTTTTCCCGTTTTTCCCGTTTTTCCCGTTTTTCCCGTTTTTCCCGTTTCCTGGTTTTTTTGTTTTCCCGTTTTTCCCGTTTTTCCCGTTTCCTGGTTTTTTTGTTTTCCCATTTTTCCCGTTTCCCATCTCCCCGTTTTCCACGTTCTCCTGGTTTTTTTCTTTCCATGTTTTCCTTGGTTTTCCTCCCACTTTTCCCAGGGTTTTTCCCCATTTCCCCCCACTTTCCCCTCTCTTTTTTCCCACTTTTCCCTCTTCTTTTTCCCGCTTTTCCTGCTTTTCCCCACTTTCCCCCCCATTTTCCCCACTTCCCCCCATTTTCCCTGTATTTTCCCCCTTTTTTCTCCATTTTCCCTGTATTTCTCCCCATTTTTTACCCACTTTTCCCCATTTTCCCCGTATTTCTCCCCATTTTCCGCGTATTTCCCCCAATTTTTCCCTGTATTTTCCTCCGTTTTTACCCACTTTTGTCCCCATTTTTCCCCATTTTTTCCCCACTTTTGTCCCCATTTTCCCCCATTTTTCCCCATTTTTCCCCATTTTTTCCCCATTTTTTCCCCGTTTTTCCCCCATTTTTTCCCCATTTTTCCCCCGATTTTTTCCCCGTTTTTTTCCCCATTTTTTCCCCGTTTTTCCCCCATTTTTTCCCCGTTTTGTCCCCATTTTTTCCCCATTTTTTCCCCGTTTTTCCCCATTTTTTCCCCATTTTTCCCCATTTTTCCCCCCCGTTTTTTCCCGTTTTTTCCCGTTTTCTCCCCGTTTTCTCCCCGCAGCGGCCGCGCCGCCGCCGGCCGAGGAGAGCCCCGGGGAGGCGCCGTACAGCGACATCGTCTGCAGGAGCCCCCCCGAGGGCAACGACCAGGTGGGGACCCCGAAATCCCAAAAATCCCACCGGAATTCCCAAAAAAACCCCACGGGAATCCCAAAAAAACCCCATGGGAATCCCAAAAAAACCTGCAGGAATCCCAAAAAACCCCACGGGAATCCCAAAAAACCCCATGGGAATTCCCAAAAAACCCCATGGGAATCCCAAAAAAACCTGCAGGAATCCCAAAAAACCCCATGGGAATTCCCAAAAAACCCCATGGGAATCCCAAAAAACCCCATGGGAATTCCCAAAAATCTGCAGGAATCCCAGAAAATCTGCGGCAATTCCCAAAAAAACCCACAGGAACCCCCAAAAACCCCATGGGAATTCCCAAAAAACCCACGGGAATTCCAAAAAACTGCGAGAATCACAAAAAAACCCCATGGGAATTCCCAAAAAACCCACGGGAATTCCAAAAAACCCGCGGGAAATCCTAAAAAACCCCATGGGAATCCCCAAAAACCCATGGGAATTCCCAAAAAACTGCGGGAATCCCCAAAAAATCAATGGGAATTCCAAAAAAAAAGAAGCGGGAATTCCAAAGAAACTTGGGAATTCCCTAAAGAAGAGTGGGAATCCCAAAAAATGCAGGAACCTCAAAAACTGGGAGGGATCCCAAAAACCACGGGAATCCTAAAAAAATGTGGGGATCCCGAAAACTGGGAATTATCCCAAAAAACCGGGAGGGATCCCAAAAAACCGCGGGAATCCCAAAAACTGGGAGGGATCCCAAAAAAGTGGGATTGCAAAAACTGGGAGTTATCCCAAAAAATCGGGGGTCTCTGGGGTGTCCCCAAATGTCCCCAAATTTCACCCCACAGGGTCCCAGCGCTCCCCCGGAACCCAGCGAATCCCAAAAAACCCAAACGACCCCGAAAACGGAAACCCCAAAAACGGAAACGACCCCAAAAACGGAAACGACCCCAAAAAGTTCCCCGGGGGGGGACGAGAAGGGCCAGAGACCCCCCGAGGACACGGCCGAGGAGGTGACATAGGGCCACAGGTGAGGGGACCCCAAAAATGGATCTGGGGACCCCAAAAATGGATCTGGGGACCCCAAAAAGGGGTTTGGGGACCTCAAAAATGGATCTGGGGAC